GTCTATTGGGTTTAGTGAAATCCTCAAGGACACGCAATTAATTATTTATCTTTTGGTGCAGGTGGCGACGTCATGGGACATTATTTCTTTCGAGATTAGACAGGAAGTGCAGTTACCGCCAAACCATACACATAATTTGTGACATGAATATTCTTAGGTGTGTCTAATGCAGTTTGATAGCCTGAAGTCAAAACTGAATTTTTCACACTCACAGTTATACGGTAACCTACGACTTTAGATTTTACAATACATAAAATTTCATTACATTTCATTATCTCATATTTTCATATGATCAGCGATTTATCCGGTTTAGACCGGTTCTGCCTGCTTGTTTGAAATAAACAGCGTGTTTTACGATCATTTTTATACCCTGAACAGGGTATATTAAGTTTGTAACACCCAGAAGGAAGCGTCGGACACCCTATAAAGTGTATATACATATGTATATATGATCAGTATGTTGAGCTGATTTGATTTAGTCATGACCGTCTGTCTGTATATATACGAACTAGTCCCTCAGTTTTTAAGATTTCGTTTTGAAATTTTTCAAACGTCATTTTCTCGTCAACAATCTTCTCATTTGTCGGAACTGCCGATATTGGACCAATGTAACATATAGATGTCATACAAACTGAACGATCGGAAAAAAGTTCTTATGTAGAAAACTTTTGCATTTGACAAGATATAKTCACGAAATTTGGTACAGATTATTTTCTAAGGCAACAATGAATTCTCCATAGAAATTGTTCAGATCGGCTTACTATAGCATATAGCTTCCATACAAATTAGCGATCGGAAAAAAGTTCTTGTATAGAAAACTTTTGCATTTGACAAGATATATTCACGAAATTTGGTACAGATTATTTTCTAAGACAACAATGTAATCTCCGAAGAAATTGTTCGGATCTGTTAACTGTGGCATATAGCTGCCATACAAAGCGAACGATCGGAATCAAGGGCTTGTATGGAAAACTTTCGTATTTGACGTAGAATCTTCACGAAATTTTACATGGATTACTGCTAAAGATAATAATATAATCTCCAAAAAAATTGTTCAGATCGGATTATTATAGCATATAGCTTCCATATAAACTGAACACATAGTTACTAAAAGAAATGCACCTATGATGAGTATATTAGATTCGGTACAGCTCAAGTTAATATTTTTCCTTGTTTTATTGTACATAATAAAAAAAAGTAGACTAACGGTGCCCGAATCGGTTACGCATTCTATGTTTGGATAGCAAAACGTTTTTGAGTTCACATTCTTTTACTGTGTTTAAGATTTTTAGATACAATGCCTAAGCAGTGCATAAATAGTGCCAACAGGTTTTGTTACGTGTGTGGAGTACTAACCTTAAAATCGCAAAGCTGTAATTTTACTCTGCTTGTGCTAAAAGCTTACGGACTGTATTTTTATTTTAAAGTTAGGGACCAAGACAAAGCATGCGCCCCGCATATCTGTTGTAAAACTTGTGTAACATAGTTAACGGCTTGGTTAAAAGGTTGAAAACGTAAAATGCCCTTTGCAGTGAAAATGGTTTGGAGATAGCCTAAAGACCAAGTTACATACTGTTATTTTTGCCTCACGAATATTAGAAGTACATACTGTTAAGTACTGTAATTTACCATCAGCTTTAAGACCCGTCAAACACAGCGAACAACTAACAACTTCCTATTCCGAAAGCACCAGAATCTTGAGTCTCAATGAAGAACTTAAATCGTCTAGCTCTTCAAATGATATTACAGAAACCGCAAAGGAAATGACAACCGATCCTTTATTTGATTTACCAGGATATTCAACAGTGCTGCATCTAATTTCACAGGGTGAACTTAATAACTTAGTTCGAGATCTAAGCCTTTCAAAATCGCAGTCCGAACTTTTAGCATCCAGACTAAATGGTTGGAAACTTCTTCAAAGTAATGTAAATAGTACTTTTACAGAAGAAGTCAGAAACCTCTGGGAATCTAGTATACTGTTCAGAAGTTAACCTTTTGTTTAAAGCACTAGGACAGTTTAGTTTAAAGGCGGTATTGGTTCATAACGGTAACAAATATCCATCTGTGCCCTTAGCTCATGCGGTTCATATGAAGGAAGGGAGAATTCTAAGGCTATATGAGAGTTCTTTTAGTGGACATCCGTTATAATGAATATGGTTGGGCAATATGTGGAGACTTAAGAGTAATAGCCCTTCTTCTTGGAATGCAACTAGAATATACGAAATATTGTTGGTTCCTTTGCATCCGTGCGAGAGACTGTCATTATGTATAGGAGCAGTGGCCAGTACGTCAGGCACTCACTCCGGGACAAAAAAACGTTACCAGTGAACCTCTAGTTCCCAAGAGTCAGTAGAGCAAACATTAAGAAGAGCATATTTATGGGTCTGCAAATAAGAGAACTAATGAAAGATGAAACATTTGAGGAAATGCTCAATGAAACTGAAAGCTAACAATTACAAAGTTCTTGTGACTGAACTACTTCCTGAATATAAAAAAAAAATGGGTTGTCACTTAAAATTAGTTTTCTGAACTCCCATCTAGATTTTTTCCCCGAAAAGTGACGAACACGGAGATCGCGAAACGATACCAAGACAAGTGGAGTGCCAGTTTGCTTGGCGATTACTGGTGAACATTGTAAAGGATATTCGAAAAAAAAAAAATATCGCCGAAAAAAATCGTTAGTAACATTTTAAGGTACTCATTGGTTAATAAAACAATATAACAATAATACAAGCTCGATTATTAGGTTTTAGGGTTTCATAGTGGTGAGCGAGTAGTWCTTTTATCATATGTTTTGTCGATTAAAGATAAACTATGAGCAGTGAAACGATTCCTCGCCAGCCAGCAGTGTGAATGTCCAACGATAAACTAGTTGAAACATCTCTTTTATTTACTTGTAGTGTATAACTATTGGTATTTCCATGAGCAAGAAAATAGTAAGTAATTTCCTTACCGTCTGCAAGCCAACTGCCTAACGACGAATTAAACGATTCTTCTATCGCATATTAAGTCGATAATTTGTAGACAATTGACGTGCCCCACGGTTTTATTTTAGTCTAGTCTATGCATATGTTTATAATTCCCACGACTGTATCTATTTTATTATTTTTTGGTTTTTAGTACATTTATCTTAAACATTGCAATGTATGTTTAACATAAAACCGTTTAACTTAAAAAGTTTTTTTACCTATTTTTATTTTCTAGWTTTTAGTTTTTATTTCGCATTCTATTTAATTCATTTAGWGCTTCATTATTGCAAGSTTTYTTGCCCGTTAGTTTATTGCAGTCCAACTTCTCTATACGTAGTCCCTGCAAAGATCTTACTCTACTAAGACCCACGTAGGCTTGACCTTCTTCAAACAGTTTTGCACCTAAGTATACGACTGCGTGATCCACAGTGCTGCCCTGCATTTTATGTATAGTAGAAGCCCATGATAGTATTTTTTTCACCATTTTGTTCCCATGAGTAATAGACAATTCAATATTACTATTAACATGTGTTTGACAGCGGGAACTTAATAGCAATGATATTTTCTTTTTTCGAAGTTAACTCCACAGGTAAGTATGTTAATGCAGCCGCGTTGTACCGAACTGTACGAACTTGATTAGGATAACAGACACCTAAATTACAGATTCAATTTCTAAATTTAAATCTTATTATTATTCGCCAATTAGTGGCTGCGCCCATCTTAAATATTGAGGTTGTATAGTGCACTGTATTCTTTTTGTCAAGCCCTTTTATTTGATACCCATATTGGTGGGATTGATAAAAAATTGTTACACAGTACTACAGCTAATTTGGGGGGGTGAGAAATTCCAAGTCAGGGTAATGGTACTAGGTCAGTATAGTAAAACCCTCAAAGGGTTAGGCGTTCGTACGTGTCAGTTTTTTTTTTATGACCTTTTAAATTTTTTCACCATGTCCCCTCTTTTATTTCACTACAGTTCGGGGGGTATGGGGAGGGAGGGGGATAAAAATTAATTTGCGAGTTCACACCTGGGGCTTTCAGGAAAGCCCTCAACCTCCCCTCTATCCCCACCAGGGGCTGAGCATTAGCCATCTTAGATTTCAATTTTGCATAGTAAATTGTATTCTACTTCTTGAGACCTCTCATTTGATACCCATGTTGATGTGATTGATAAAACCTACGTTGTCCGCCATTTTGTAGCGGCGGCCATCTTGAATTTATAATGATAATGAATAAACATAATTGTATTGTCACCAAAACTCAAAGTGTATACAAAATTTCAGATTAATCGGTTGACAGGAAGAGGGTGAAATTCGAATTACTAAATTTGATCCAAGAATAAATAATAAATAATAAAACAAACGGGGTGAGCTAAATAAAACCATTTAAAAAACGTTAACTTCGGCTGCACCGAAGCTAATATACCCTTTACAGTTGCATTTCTTTTAGTAACTATGTGTTCAGTTTATATATTATAAGCTATATGCTATAGTAAGCCGATCTGAATAATTTTTTCGGAGATTATATTATTACCTTTAACAGTAATCCATGTAAAATTTCGGGAATATTCCACGTGAAATGCGAAAGTTTCCTATACAAGAACTTGATTCTGATCGTTCAGTTTATATGGCAGCTATATGCTACAGTAAGCCGATCTGAACAATTTCTATGGAGATTACATTGTTGTCTTAGAAAATAATCTGTACCAAATTTCGTGAATATATCTTGTCAAATGCAAAAGTTTTCCATACAAGAACTTGATTCCGATGGTTCAGTTTGTATGGCAGCTATATGTTATAGTGGTCCAATATCGGCAGTTTCGACAAATGAGCAGCTTCTTGAAGAGTAAATGACGTTTGCAAAATTGCAAAACGATATATTAAAAACTGAGGGATTAGTTCGTATATATATAGACAGACGGACAGAAGGACGGACAGACAGACAGACAGACGACTCAGCTCAACATACTGATCATTTATATATACACTTTATATACACTTTATATGGTCTGGTTGCAAGAGTATAAAAATCATGCGTGTACATCAAATCAACAGCAAAGCCGATTATCCGGAACAAACTCTGTATTTGACGGGAACAAAAAGGCATGCTAGATTATGAGCTATCGGGTGAAATTACTAAAAAGAACGCTTACATTGTTGTTAGTAATTTCTCTTAGTAATTTCAACTAGAAGCGAGCAAGTGTTGAAAATGCTTCGTTATTTCTGACTGACACATGTTGCAAGACCAGTTAAAAGCTACATTTCACATCAGAAAAGGTTTTTAAAAAGTGGCTTCGTTTATTCTTTGTTACCAAACCGGACCCAATAGATAAAAATAACGAGTATAATCTACACCCCCATTTAACAAAAACCGAAGTAATAAATAAATATACATATATTTTATTTTTATTCTGCTTTCTTTTCAGTTTTAGTTCCGACACCGCCAACCAAATTCGTCGCCTCATTCCATATGTCTTATACAGCGCATTACCGGTAAATGGCACACCTGCTGACTACGGTACCTTGCATAGGCTTTTAACTAGCGCAAATTATACGCACAGTGATTTCTTAGAAAAAATATCACCAGATTGCGAAAGTCAACTGATACGTTGTAAAATAATTGGTCAAGTACATCCCTGTAAGGTACTCTTTCAGCGTATGCAAACACAGCATGGCTACTGTTGTTCATTCAACTTTAATACCATTATAAATGGAAATCAAACAGCGGAAGAGTTAAGCATACAAAGCAATCGCTTTGGCGCTAAATGGGGTCTATCGGTGCTGCTCGATCCACAGTTAGAGGATTACTATGCGTCTAGATATAAATTTAGCGGCTATCAAGTATACATAAACAATGGATACGATTTTGTCAATATCAATGACCCACATCAATTGGTTTTGCCCGGCAACTCCATTCATATACATACTACACCGTCCATCATTCAAGCCACGACTTTATTGAAGAATGAAAATCTGCAACTGCGTCAGTGCTATTTACGCACCGAACGTAAGCTTCTTGCGTTTGCTGAGTATACTCAGCAGAATTGTTTTTCCGAATGTCGTAGTGAAAAAGTGTTTAAGATCTGCGGTTGTGTGCCCCCATTATGGCCACGTGCGCAGAACTGGACCGTATGCACTCTGTTAGAAGCTAGTTGTATAATGGCTCAAATCGGTAAGATAGACGTATTTTTGTACCGAAATTTAATAGTATTGACTACCTTTTGATCTAATCAAATTTGATCTGGATTAACAAAAAAAAAAAAAAAAAATAATAATAATAATAATAATAAAAATTTAAAAAAATACAGTACAATACCTTTAGCTGGACTACGGAGTTAGGTGGGTGTATACGCCAATGATTGTGACAACTCTCTTTCACATCCCACTACAAAACTCAGCCAGCATCTTCTAAGCAGAAGTACTGTACTAAGTAGACCATCGAAGATATACTGTGGATTTCTAAGTAACTAAGGGAGGATACAGAGAGCTACCGTATATACACAGATAGTAGACGCCACAAATTAAGTCCAGCGTAGTTCATAATCCCCAATTGATGAGGATATCGGTAGGGGTAATGTACTACCTGCCGAGCTATTCAAATACAGCGGTGAAGAACTGACTTGGTATGAGCAGAACCTAAGTGTGTCCTAAATAGGGGAACCTCACAATCTTCGGCAATTACCGTTGCATAAGCCTCTTTAATATCGCATTTAATACCCTATCGATCGTAGTTTATGAAGGATCTAAGCCAACCGTCGACAAACTGATTGGACTTTATCATTGTGACTTTAGACCTGGAAAATCTACTATTGACCATTTATTCATAATGAGCAAATTTTAGAAAAGGTCCGAAAAAATATCGACACACACAATCTCATCGTCTATTTCAAAAGCGTCTTTAAGAGCAAGAAACAAAAGCTGTATCTATTCGCTATGCCTGAATTTTATATCCCCGCAAAATTACCACGGCTGTATAAACTGACGTGAAACAACACCAATAGCTCCGTCAAGAACGAGAGGGACCTTTCCGATCCGTTCAATACCAATCGAGGTTTCAGAAAAGGAGACTCGTCTTACTTCTCCAATCTATTGCTGGAGAATATAATATGATCTGCAGAGCTTAATAGCAATCTTCGGTAAGATGATATGGGTCTGGTTGTGAACGAGGACAAGATGGGTCAACAAAAAACTAGTCATCGCATTCTCGGCGAAGATATCGTAGTCGATGGAACGATGAGCTGTAGACACTGATATAGTTTAGCAAATCAAGATACAGATGCTACGCTGGCTACGTCATGTTGTCTTGACGTATGAGTACATTCCAGTTTTGAAAGTACTACCTGCCGGTGAAAGAAGAGGAATAGAAAAGCATCCAGTTGGCCAAACTAAAAGCTTTTTAAGACGAATAGGAGACGAACTTAACAACATGCCCGGTACGAACGATTAAAAGAGAATAAATAGCTCAGAGCAGATGACAATCAATACCCAACTGCGAGATAGCAAAGTAGATATGTATTAAGTATGACAAGACCAGAACTAGGGTGTTATTACATTGCTCCTGAAATAGTATTTGCAGACTTATAGTTACCTTAACGGGACTCTAACCTTTGGAGAACATGCGCTAAAAATTGGTCTGCCCTGGAACAATTACTTTTCACTTTCTCAGCGAATGTCCAACTCCAACATAAAAATGGTACCTACGCATCAGGCACCAAACAAGTAGTTTCATTGAGAACACCAAATGGTTTGAGCGTAACAATGAAGCGATATAATAAGGACCTTTCAGTATTGTGTCAAAATAGCTGATCCACCGCTAGTTGAGCCCACTCCTTTATATGTACATATTCACAAGCTAATTCTTACGTGTCGGAGATAATTGCAGAGGTTGGTGAAGAGAGAAATTTCGCATAGTTTCATCGGAATATAACTCTTCTATTCATTTGAGTAACCTAAGGTTGCGAAAAACCTAAATTAGTTCCCTATTAATATATGTATCCTTCGATTTTATCAATATCTGACAGTCTATATTGCATACTTTCTTCTTTAGATACGCTTTTGACAACAATTTACCCCACCAATTCGGATTATAAATCTCATCCGATGGCTGAAAAATACATTTGTGATTGTTATCCGGAATGTGAGTTTATTGGGTATGAAGCAAACTTCGAAAGTATGACTTTGGATAGGAATTTTTCAATCAATAATATGGATTTATAGTAAGTCTTAAATATAATAAATCATTACCTCTTTTCTATGGTATCACAATTTTATTCAAGTTTTATTATATTTGAGCACTATGTACTGTGCCCAAAAAATAAGGTGACATTTGAATTTGGATTTGGAGAATTTTTTTTTTTGTAGGTTGGTGGTACTGTCAGTCACATTTATGTCAAATTTCATGTCAAAATATTCGTTAGTGTCGTTTTGTGAGCTGCTAAAAGTGAGTTTTTCGTTTTTTGCGTTGTCGAAATTTGTTGAGCAAAGAATTTGCATTAAATGATCATTTCGCCAAAAACTCAATCCATATCATCCCGCAACCACCGTATTCACCTGATCTGGCGCCGTGCGACTTCTGGCTGTTCACAAAGCTCAAAAGACCGCTCAGGGGACACCGTTTTATACGATAGAGGAGATTTAAGCCGCAGCGAAGACGGAACTGAAGGCCATCCCGAAAATCCGTTGGCATAATGTACTACATCTAGTGGGGATTACTTTGAATGGGATGAAATTGATTTGGAAGAATAAAAAAAGAAATTTCAAAGTAAATACAATGGCACCTTCTTGTGCTACTGAAAGGCCGATGGAAAATTCTTAGTAAAGATAAAAGAAATCCATATAGTCCTGAAAAGATGGTAAAGTTCGTCAATGTATGTGCAGCGTTGCATAACATCTGCATACAATTTAAAAATTCAACATATTGCAGATATTTTGTTAATGAAAATAATTATAAAGATACGGGAAATGAGACTCAATTAACTAAAATCGGTCATAAGATTAGATATCATATTATTGCTGTCTTTAGACATGGATTCATTCTTGTTTTAATAAATATATTTTCAATAAAGAACTTGGTATTAACATACATATATAAAAATAAAAGCTGTGAAGTTGCAAATTAAAACTCATGAGCTTGATATTKTAAAGAGAAATAAATAAATATTATTGCCCCTTCTTTTATTCAGAGAGATCTCACCTTTAGAGCAATTAGTTTCTCAAGATTTTTATTGAATTGCGCTTGCGTTACTTCATATGTGCGTAAATTGCATTTCAAAAGAGAAAGCTTTTCACTTTCGACAGTGGGCTTCGCTTTAGATGATTTTGTCGCACTGATGGATGGTGTCGGATCTTCTTCTTCATCGCTATTAATAATCATCTCAATCAACTCATTTAATCGTTCTTCTAGCCTTACATTTCCAAAAGATTTAACTACGGTCAACCCTTCTAAAGCAACATCTATCCCCGTAGCTTGGAGGAATTGTTCTTCTGCTACAGTTGATAGCTTTGCCACGTACGGAACACCACCAGTCCTTTGTCTCGAGGCTTTGTTGAAAGAAATTTTCTTTTTTATGTTGTGCTTCTGATCACAAAATACCTATTTTTGTATTTTATTATTATTTTAATCATCTATTATTATCCGGCAGCGTTAATTTTTAACGTCAATGCCTCCCATAGCTTATTTGCTGCAACTTTGCCTTGCGCACAATTAGGCAAAATATTTTGTGTATTTTTACGATTTTTTTTCTAATACAAGCAATCATATATTTGAAAAATAGAATATGTTATATCAAAGGTATATATTCGAACAATATCTACTGAAATTTCGATACGAAAATTCCGCCGTTGAGACCGCATTTCCCTGGGTGTCTCTCAAAAAAGTGCTCTCGGCGTGGACAGCATAACTTATTATATATATACTAAGCATATTCTCTTAGTACATATCTAAATCTCGGTTTTGAACGTGGGAAATAAAAAAAATATTAAAATTATCCTTCTTTTCTCATACTTTGAATAAAAAATCTCATTTTTGTAAAATTTTCGGCATTTTTTGGTCAGAAAAATAAGTTGTAATTAAACAATAAAAAATCCTTCATTCAATAACTAAATAATATTATTTCAAAAACGTGTATACAATTGAGTTGCACTTGAGTGCACAAGTTCTCAAGGCTATATCTCCGAAATTATTACTCAGATCAACTTTAAAACTTAGGACTATATTCTAGAGGTATTGTAGAATTTAATAAAGCAAACAAAACAAAATCGATTTTTGGAAATTTTCAAACCCACCTAACCCCCAAAATCACTCATCAAATTTTTTTGACGCATATTTATTTTGTTTACATTTGTCCTTAAATCATTAGTTATAATTATAGTACATGTGAAATAAACTAAATAAAAGAAAAATAATTTACACTTTGCCCCTCGAATTGTTTTTAGTTGATATATTCAAAGTTTTTTTTTTATTTAATTTGTATTATAACGCTTCTCAAATAGGTAAAGAATGTAATTTCGATTCTTTCGTACAAACGAGAGCACGTTATCGAATGAGGAAATTTCAAATTCCATATAGAAATAAAGCACCAATGAAAAAACAGATAGCATGGTAATTCTTTCTGACTTCAGTAAACTCTTTTGATGCAATTGAGTCCAACGGCTTTCAGGTTTTCTGTAAAGCACCTCTAAACTCCATGTCTATGTGCAGGGAAGCATCCAATATCAGGCACCTTTTGAGTGTGCTTAACACTTTTTTGAATATATGTTTGTAACCAAACGCCTCAAAAGGAGTTAAACAATATAAATGTCTACTATCTGTAAATATTCTTCTTCTTTTATGGCATAGCAGTTAAGTTGGCGCCAATTCGAGATACCAGGTGCACCCATGTCCTTCTCCACCTGATCTCTCCAACGGAGTGAAGGTCGTTCTTTTCCTCTGCTGTTGTCATTGTCCATGCCTCTGCACCAAATAGCAGGACAGGAATAATGAGTGACTTATGAGTTTTGTTTCTTATAGAAGGTTTTGCGTTCTCTAATTAGCCCTACAGCTCGTATTATTTTGCCCAGAAGTTGATTGAAGAAGTCGCACGAAAGGAAGTCGCCTTGTCTGAAACCACGTTTGATATTGAACGGCTCAGAAAGATCAGGATGATTAGACGCGTTGAGGCACCTGTGAGCGAAATATCTTGAAAATTGAACGTGATTCCCACTTCTATTTAGATCAACGTACATATCTCCTAAACCACTTTAACTACATTAAATATATTCGCTCATGACAACTCCCTTTATCACTCCTATTGACACTTTAAAACTGGATGAAAACGGTAGATAGCTCCGTCCACTCCCAATATAACGGTATTTTAAAAACTAAAAGTGAGATAAATGAAAGACTAAATATGACAGAAACATACAATTTTCCACCCGAGATTTGTATGAGTGGATGTTACGGGAATCTGGGAAGGGCGTGACACCACCCAATTTTTGTTGAAATCTGATATCTCGGCAGCCGCCCGATCGATTTCGACTAAATTTAGTCAAAGTTATTATTCTCTCATTCTTATCTCACAGTGTGAATATAAACGAAATTGGACTATAATCACGCCTACTTCAAATATAGCACAATTTTACATTCAATTTTAATAATTTCGACTCGTTGTTGGATCGTATATCTTTCCATGATGAAACGACAAACCGTACTGAAGTGAAATGTCAAAATATCGCGAAAAATATGCCATCGTTTGCTGTTCCTATCGGTCTACTTTTTTAGTGTCCTRTTGAAAAGCTCTATAGTTTGTTGCTTTAGTTGAAATTGGTTTCACACCTTGGTCTAAACCTTAAATTGCTTACTTGTATAATAGTTTTCATCCTCTCGCTCATGTGTTCCTTTTATGCCTATTTTCCCAAATTTAACTGATCTGATATTGAGTAGCAAGAGAAAGAAGATGAATTCGAAGCCTTCATCAGCTCTTGAAGTTTTAAAGTTTTGTTCCTTGCGAGTGTACAAAATGTTCAGTTTAGCTTATCTTTACTGTTTTTCATTCATATCCTAAAATATGTTAGGTTTCATACATTTCTGTTCATAGTAAGTATCACTAACTAAAAGTGTTTTATAAAGCAAAAAAATGCTTTCTAAAACACATTTGCTGTTATTTGAGTCGATACTTTGTTTTAACATACACACAAGTATAACATCTACATATATTAAAATATATTCATTCATAATTCCATGCCAATTAACTACCGTTTTCTCTTGTATATAGCGGCGGTATTGAGCTAAAAAATCATTTGGTGGTACATGCCTATTACGCCGATATGTTTGGTGACTACATGCGCTTCGATGTTGCGTATCACTGGCAAAACTATTTCGGTTCGTTTATTAAATAGTAACTCATTGGAAAAATTAACGAAATTACATTACACTAATTCACAGGTCTGTTCGGCGGCATAACCAGCCTATACATGGGTATTAGCTTCATTTCTGGCTTTGAAATAATTTTCTTTCTCTCCGTGCGACCAGTGGCCCATCTGCTAACGAGAATAAATAAGCGACGGCAAGCTATGAAAAAGCAAAAGGAATTGAAAACGAATTATAAAGTCATAAGAAACTAATGCAAGCGGTAGCGAGGGATGGGAAGTGGAGGTTAATTGTAGTCAAAATGTTGCTTATTGACAAACGATGTAGGTCACATACTACATATATAAATAACTCGAAATTTGTTCACTTTTTTGGATCATTAACTCTTGCTGACTCTCAACGCCGCAAGATGTTCACCGCGTTTAACGATAATTGATATTGTCATTCAAAATATGTTCACTGCAAGTGTCTATAATTAAATTAATGCCACAAATTAATAGCCTTTAAGAAATACTATAGAATTATGCTTGCTACAGCTTACTTGTGTTAACTCGAAGAATCAGTTATTAATGCGACACGGCGCACTGCAGTCATATCAACTAAATATTACGGGTTTTTCCAATAAACGCCAACAATGTCCTCTCGGTCCACTTTTAAACGCACACCATTTCTAGCGTCTCAAAATCGCGTTTTTGATATACTAAATCACCAACAGCAAAGTATGAAAACGAAGAGTATATTTGTCTCACCAGCCAACTCAAGCAAAACTAATGCCAAGCAGCAAACACGCAAAGCTTCACGCCTCCGCCAATTGGCTACTTTTTCGCCAGTACGTCATTGGTTAGTGGAAAATATGCGCAATTATTGCAATAGCACATCACTGCACGGCTTCAATTACATCACTCTGAAAGGCTCCACGGCGAATGAGCGACATTTCTGGATTGCCGTCGTTATCATATCGATTATAATCTCAATTGTTTTGGTGATTGTTTCATGGTTTTGGAATCGTGAAACTCCCACAGTGACCGTGATTGAGAGCGCACATTTTCCCACATGGAATATTCCGTTTCCAGCGGTCACAATTTGCAATTTCAATAAGATTTCGAAAATGAAGGCGCTAAAGTTGGCGAGAACACTGTAAGTGGCAAGTAATTCAAATTGAAAAAGTATATAAAAATTATTAAGAAAAAACATTTAAATATATGCAATGGTTTTGAGGGAATTGGAGTGTAATCGGGTAATTTTTACGAGTAATTACATTTTATATACTGAAAATTTTACTATAACTTTAATGTATGTATATATACTATATACTATAAATAGTTTATGTTTCGTTCCTCCAATATAATCTGTAAAGTCAGAAGGCGTTACATCACTAATTATTAGTAAATGAAGAGGTCTAAAAAAATTCATTACTATTCTGTTACATCAAATGACGTTAGAAAGACAAGATTTTTTACTAAAAAGAAGCTTTTCATACAGTTTTGTAAATGCTTTACTCAGTATTATTTGAGCACACGTCAAATATGGACGCCTTCAAAAAGAAAATACTTCCTATTCTACAAGTTCTTTGTTCAAAGACGATAACGCAGACCAGACGGCTGAATATGTGAATAATTTGTTTGGTCCAAGACATTGTAGTAGCCAATTATTTTGCTTTCTTTGTTTTTGTCTCAGTAATTTTATTGTCAAAAATGCGCTCCGCTCTGGGAGGCCAATTGTCATAAGGTCCGGTCGTCACATAAGCATTGTTACGTTTGCTCTGGAATTCACCATTGCACAAAAACCGTTGAGAACTACTTAAGAGGACTGGTTACAACAACACGTTCGATATATGTATTCGAGAACCGAGATTTCCAACATTGAATAAATACTACCTGTTCTTGTCGATGATGAATGAATTTTCTTAATGAAAAATTAAATGACAAGAAATTAGCAAAAACAAAAAAAAGTTCCCGCAGGTGTTTAATTTCTATTCCCGCCAGCTCGGTGGGATGTCTGAAGGTATGCGCTCTCAAATGTTTTGACCCAAACGCTGTGCAGTCAAGAAGGAAGTGTTGAGTTGTGGTGCCTTTCCTTGCCATTTCATCAGCTTATCTGCGATTCGGTTGTGGCCTGGCCCCTATATAAGTCTTATAAAAAAATACTCGGTACTATTAATAGCAAGCTGAGGCACTCTTTGACCAGCCCTGAACGTACTGTAAATGAGTTCAAAGCTAGCTGGTCACTTCTTTGAAGCAGGCTGCACTTCTGGGCAGTAAATCTACTGCTATCTTAATGACTCCAACCTCGGCCTGGAAGAGACTGCAATATTCAGGAAGTATGAATATTGATATATAGCTCCTGATAATAAACCCCTCCACCAACCTTCCCCCCAATATTGGATCCATCCGATTTTATAAAAAAAAATCGACCCGCTCTACATCATATATACATCTCGCTATTTAATATTTGTAGATATATCTATAAAATTGCTTATTCTAACAACAATATTTTCGCAAAAACTTTAGTAAACGGCCACCTAACGTTTCGGAGGAGAAATTATTAAGTCTGTTTCGCATAATAATGTTCTTCAATTTCGCCTTAAATCACACCGAAGAAGATTTTCACATCTTCGGTAATATACTCAATGATAACAACTTTACTATAGCCAAATTAACGCAAGAACTTACACCGAATTGCATGGATATGATATCGAAATGTGTTTGGAAAGGCGATGGCTTGCGTTGCGACAGTCTGTTTCAGCCAGTACAAGCGCTCGAAGAAGTCTGCTGCTCCTTTAACTATTATGGACGCACAACAAATAATTTTCCAAAGTAAGTAAACTTATATTATCTTAGGTAACTATATGGCATTACCTTAAAATACAACTAATTCATAACAGAAAAATCGCATATCAAGTACCGAAGCAACCCTATCGCGTTACCGGCTGTGGTCATTCGACTGGCATCTCTGTGGTACTCAATCCCATAACCGATGACTACTTCGGCACTTATCTGAGCAGTTACGGGTTTCGTCTTTTTGTACATGATGCTTATAATTTTCCCGATGAAAATGCCGAAACGAAAGTAATCACTTCGGGTCGCGAGAGTTTCGTGCGCATAAATCCCGAATCGACATATGCAACAAATGTGGTTAGGAATATGGATGTAAAGTTGCGTAACTGTTTATTTTATAATGAGCGATCGTTGCCAACAATGCAACGATACTCGTTTGGCAATTGCATGGCTGAGTGTCGTACAAGATATATGCACAAACTTTGTGGCTGCGTCCCGATGAGCTTACCAAACAATGGTAGTCTTCGAATTTGTGGTTTGAGTGAAATATATTGTATATTAAATACACGAGGTAAGTGAATAATGTTAAAGCAAATATGTATTTTTGTAATTAATTAAACAAAATTTAAAGAGATCTTCGCGTTGGCATTGCCAACAAAAAATACGACGCTTTCGGTGGTGCAAATTACGGATAAATTTCCCTGCGACTGTTTACCCAATTGCGAATTTAACAATTATCCGTCCGAAATAACTATGGGACAAGTGGATATGAAATTAGTTTCTACGACCAAAAATATAAAGTAAGTAGCTTGAGACATTTTTTTTTTTAATTTTTTAAAGTAGGTTTTAAACGTTAGCAAGATGTTGAAAATAATGCAAAAAATTTAATTGTTTGTTTCGAGAAAATATGTTCAATAATTAAATAAAATGTACGAAATAGTTGTCATATATCATGTTCGAATATATTCGACTTCGAAAAACCCATTCATATAGTAAACCAAGAAAAAGTGTTAACTTCGGCAGCACCGATCCTATAATACCTTTCACAGGTTACTTATAAGTTTCTTAAAGTGATCCGATCTAAGTGGACCAATTTAGAATACTTTTAGAAGGGAGTTGGGAATGTATTTCTACAAAATTCAATTTCGATGTAATATTTTTTGAATGCCGATAACATACAAATTCAAGTGTTTTTAACGAATTCTTCTACTTTCCTCGAGATTATACGATCAAATAAAAAAGAAAGGTCGCCCTTAGATAAGTAAATGAAGATTGCACCGCGACTTAGGGTCTATTGTGCCCAGATACTATCAGATTGGGAACGAGCAGGTGTTCCACTATCTTCGACCATTGGATCTTTGGGGCTCGTGCGAATTGGATATTTTTCGGGTTTCGAAAGCATTCTGGCTCTAAGTGGAACGTAAATTAAACTAAACTACTAGATTTTAGCAAAGGGAAACATGGTCACAATGATAAGAATCCTAACTAGACTCTGGCCCTTGGTACTCACGTGGTTTGGCTAAAGATTTTGGAGAACGTAAGTTGTCAAAGCTGCAGTTAGAAAGATGAGTTGGAAATATGTAAACATGCTTTCGCTAGTCTTCCTATTCTTTCTGCGAACCCGGCGATTTGGCTGGAATTAATATTCATCGCCTCCATAAATTTGTGCCAGGCTCCATATTTTTCGATATGCGACGGTCAGGCGTGTATACCTGCAATTTAGCAGTAACAGTGAAATTTCTAAGCAATTGAGATCTTAATTTCGTATCGATGTACTTAAATATCTTTCGAAAATCATGAGATTAAGCTATTTTTTTCATGATTACAAAAATTAGTTATACATGTATTAATAATATATACATATGTGTTACTGTAAACTTAAAATATTACATTTTTTTTTCTTTAAATGTTTTTTCATAGCAAAACGATTAATTCCGAAGAACAAATTCTGCTACATGTTTTCTTCAGCGATTTAATGGCCAAGCGTTATCGCAAGGATATCTATCAGGATTGGTTGTCATCATTAGGTAAACTTTTCGTATTTTTTGCTATAAAAAAAATCAAAATTTCAAAAGCAATATATGTGACCTGGCCTACGAAAAGGGAGCTAACGTGCGAAAATTTTTGGATTCTATCACATGAAAAAGCATCTCATCTTCCATCCGAATCAACTAAAAAGTGAAAATTGATTTTTTGACACCTAAGCCCCCTTTCCGTAGACTAAGTCACATATAATAATATATAAATATGTAATATATACTAGGGTGATTCAAAAAAAAATTGTTTTTTTCGTGTGGTACTCTGAAAAATGGGTTTCTAGACACCTTTTATAAATCCTCTCTAAGAATGAGTTCTTATTTGTAACGGGAATTTTTTATTTTTTCATATTATCATATAGAAAACTTTATATCTCGCTTCCAACTACTTGAAAAAATATCTTGTTCCTTAGATTTTGTAGGAAATTGAATGCTATACACAAAAGATCTGTACGATTTTTTCGTAAACCCAATCGTTTTAAAGATATTAACAGTTAAAGTTTGATTATTTTTGGGAAATTTTTTTATTTCTTAAACGGTTGGGTTTACAAAAAATTAAACAGACCTTTTTTGTCGAGCATTCAATTTCCTACAAAATCTAAGGAACAGGATATTTTTTAAAGCAGTTGGAAGCGAGATATAAAGTTTTCTATATGATAATAAGAAAAAATAGAAAATTGTAAGTAGGAGGACATTCCCGTTACAATTAAGAACTCATTCTTGGAGAGGCTTATTTAGAGGTGTCTAGGAACGTATTTTTCAGAGTACCAAACGAAAAAAAATTTTTTTTTTGAATCACCCTAATATATATATATGTACATATATACGTAGGTTTCTGGAACACTATATTTCTTATTTTTTATAAGTCTTATTAAATTATACCAATATTTTATTCTTCTTTCTTTCTAGCATCTTTCGGTGGTCTTTTGGGTTTAATAATGGGTTTTAGCATAGTGACTGCTTTCGAGTTCATTTACTTTCTCACATTTCGACCGATTTTTAATTACTTCAATGATGTTTAACTACTAATGTTTACTATGCACCTCGCTTTATTTTGCTCAGCTTTGTTTGTGAAAGTGAATGTAAAAAACAAAAACAAAATATATATATAAATAAATTAAAAATTTGTGTCACTGAGCTTACATACATTTCTTTGTTTTATTTAATGTCTAATCTCAGTGTATTTAAGGTCAAGTAAGAGAAATTCATTATTACATTGAAGGTTTACTTAGCATAGGCCCATTTAATTTCAGAATGCTACTCTCATTGAAATTCTCGTGGAAAAACATTAACATTTGCTTTTCACAAGCTGCTCTTGTGGTAAATTTTTGCCCAACAAAGTCATTCGACAAATCGTCCTTCACTCGAAGTGTAACCCCAACTTCAGACCATTCGCGCAGCTGTCGCACTGGAATCAGCTGTTTATAAATTTGCTGAATGACAGCTCGGAGCCCAAGATTTTTTTTATCGCACCATCACTCGTCACTGTGCTACTGGTAGCATCGCAAAAACGCCAAAGACTGCAACGTCACGTGATGGTTCGGAAAGTGAAGAAGCGATTTGAGCGAAATCCACGGCGAAGTGCCAATCAAATGGCTAAAGAACTGAAAATATCTGACCGCAACATCCGACGCATATTGAAAAATGAGTTTAAGGTCAAGCCCTACAAGTTCCAACAGGCCCACGATCTCACACCGAAGCAGCAACAAGTGAGACTTGAGACAACGAAGCAACTGCTTCCGAAAGCGGTCAAATTCCGAAAATTGTGTTTTCTGACGCAAAATTTTTCGCAATTCGTAAACTCTCAAAAGAGAGGTTTACTTGACCGACCGTTCATAATAGAATCTAAGTCATCGGTTGGCCACCAGGAGGCAGCACCCGCCACAAATAATGGTTTGGGCCGCTGTCACCGCAGATGGGCGCTCTCCAATTGTTTTCATCGAGCCTGGCGTCAAAGTAAATGCGATATATTATCGAGAAAGTGTTCTGGAGGGTGCTTCACTAGATGCGAATCCATGGATTATTCTCTCTGGGCCATTTTGGAGAGCAAGGTCCGAAGTAAAAAATACACCAGTCTCGAGATACTGAAGAAAGCCATTGTCTGTGAGTGGACCAAAATACTGGCAAGTCACATTCTGGCAGCTTGCGATTCGTTTTTGACCATCTCAAGGCCATAGTTAAGGCAAAAGGTGGTAATGTCGAGAAAAGTGAATTGGTCCTGAATTTATGATCATTTTTACACATTTTGTATTTTAAAATAAATAAAAATAAGTTTCCAAACCGAATTTATGGCTGTTTCAATTGGTACACTTCGAGTGCCGGACCCTATAATAAGAAAATGGTAGTCGAGTTTGTGCCTTGAATTTCAGTAACATAATAACTCACAGATTGATCGATATTTTCGATAATATTTTCGGAACTGGAAAACATATTCGGTATCTGGGGCTTGAGTAGTTGTAAACCGATATTGATAATTTTTGGTCATAAAGTGGCCTACTTTAAGCGCACTATTCGCGACATTATCCCGAGATTTTCATCGTTGCTTGATTTGCATTCAGGAAAGTGAAAGAATCAGATGGAATTTTAAATGGATTACAGGAGAAGTAAACGTCGTAGTAGTCCGCTTTCGAAAATATTTCTTGATAACATTTCTTCCAAAATTTGGTGCATATCGGTCGCGTAGATATGGCTTTACTTCTAAATGTGGACGGTGCCATACCCATCGCCTTATTTTGAACACGGCTACTATAAAGCCCTCTCATACCATCTTAACTATAAAATTTAATTGCTCTGGCATATTTATTTATTTAATAGTAGGGTTGACATCAAATTTCATCCATTGTGGGTCACTCATAATCCTAGATCACCGGAAATTCCATCGAAGCTGTGCGTGAATTCATCAAGAATTGAACATCTCCAAAACATCGATTTATCACATAGTCAAAAGTGAAGACAATGCTGATTTGTTTTTATGATTCCAAGGGTTGTCCCTAAAGAATTTGTTCCACCCGGCCAAAACGTTTATGCGGTATTCTACCTTGGAGTTTTGAAGCGTTTGGTGCGCCGTATTCGACGTGTTCGGCCGTCTCATCGATCGACGCTTTTGACCGATTATAATGCACTGCAACCTCTGGCCGATAGTGCTTTTTCCTATATCACATACTAGCTGGCAATGGTTGCGCGAGGCTTCGCCACGCCCGTCAAAATATGCAAAATAAAAAAAATATTAATAAAATAAAAAATAAACTTAAATCTTTAGACTGTTCTTTAGTTCAACTTAATCTTTAACATTTACAACTGATTCCAACAAAGCAATTTAACGGAATAGTTATATTTTTAATTTCAGTTATGCCTAAAGC